TATATGTGGAAAGGTTGAGCAACCACTCCTACAAAAGATCATGAGGCGTAAATTAGAAAATCTGAATTCAAATTTTTGGATAGAGTTTTTACTTTTGGAGTCCTGATTTGTTGAAGCCCTCAACAAGGTGTCTAAATTTGGTTCAAATGCTCTCATGTATGGGTGGTGGTGGAATCAGAAACGATGTGAATGCAAATAATCCCAATGCTTTTGTTGAACAAAATCATGGTTTTTGGAACAATTAAGTTTTGATGTTTTCTTTATATATTTCATGTTTAAATTTTGAAGTCTCATAATCTTTTTCTATTTGCATCAGGGTTTTGAAGATTTCGGCATAAAATTATAACTTTAATGTCCTGCATGAGTTTTCCAATATATTTTTTTTAAATTTTTCGAAGCTATTTGATTTATTTAGTTTTGTTATAGATCGAGGATGGTGCTTACATTAAAGTTCCTTTAATTTTTTAATTTCCATTTGATTGGAAACGGTTGAAATGAACATTTACTTATCTTTTTCATATTTTAATTGTTTATAACATTACACTATAAAGAAAAAAAAGTCATTACAAGAACTTATAAAAAGCTTAACTTATTAACAATTATGCTTAGCAGAGCAAAAGAGTAAGAATTTCCTTACATATAAGTTTCTTAGTGCATGTTTGTTGCATCTGCAAAGAAACTGGTCACCTTAACTCTGTTTATGCAACCATACTGCAGATCACCCTTTGCAACAATTCATAAACACCGACTCATGATGCATGATGATTCTGTTAATGATGATCGAGCTCATAACTTGTAGACAGACATCAGATAGAAAGGATATGGGGAAATCACAAGATTTTTATGGACAGTTGGGATCAGGGCAAATACCTTATTGTTTTGGCAAATACCTTTTTGTTATATATTTGGTATTATTTTTTCTGAAAAAGAACTGCATTAATTTACACACTAAATATTTATTTGCAAGATTTTGCGGTTTGCTTTCAAAGGTTGTAATTTTTTTTATCACAACATCGAGTAGTGACAACTTCACAACTAGACAAATAAAGTTTTATATTGATATTTGAAGTCGTTTTTAACTTCACTTTTTTTACAGCATGACCATAAACATATTAAAACAGCCGCTAATTTCGGATGTGCCTGTGTAAGATCATCAACAAGCCAAAGAAACAGTAATACAATAATAAGAAACCTACATTGCCATTTATAAAATAAGAATAGAATTAATAAACATTGTGTACACATATGATTCTTCTCTAAATATATGCATATCTTTTTTGGTCATTTCAGGATGTTAATATGAAAATCATATCATTTTCTCAACAAGGGTTACTATTGTTCGTGTAATTGCCAATGTTACCCTCTATGATCTTACCTCATGTTGATTATATAAAACAGGAAAACCAATCATGCTACCTCAACCAGTCTTTGTCGTCTTAATGTGCCGAAACAACATGTAATCCCCCTTGTATTTTCCCCCTTTTTTTAATCTATGCCTGACTAAATAGAAAACACATGGCACAAAACTTTACCAAATCAACATGTTAATACTACTCTTACTATTCTCGACTTAAAATGTAAACAAATACCATAATAAATCTTTTACATAATAAAAGATGACACTGGGTCGTGCTTAGCACGGTCTGCAGATTTCCCTAGTATATATATAAAAGTTAGCCTTGTGCTTTAATAATTAAGCAAAGTGGGATAGGAGGAATTTTGTGGATTTTTCCTTGATTTTTGAGGATTGTAGTTTGAATTTTGGGGATTTTTGGTAAAGAAGAGAAGATGGCGAACTCTTGGTTCCTCTTCTTTAATCTGAGTCATTTCTGCCTCAACCTTCTTAAGACACGTTTGGGACACCTGGTTTCATTTCACGGTTTCCCAATATACAGTTGTAATCCACTACATGTGTTACTTCAAATCCTTTTTTAGTAAATTCTGTAAAAAATCGGGGTTTCCATATCTCCATCACCGCTTTATCTCAATTTGTCTGCTCCATTATCCTATCTCCGCCACAAATTTCTGATTAAACCACTATCACCCCATCCCATGTTGTCTCTTTTCTTTCTTCATCCCGATTTCTTTTGTGGAGCGCTTGCAATCGGAAAATAACAACTTTCCACTTCTTTTATTCCTATTTCTCTTTGTAGAAAGAGATTTCAGTTTTGTTTCTTTTTGTTCGAGCAGAAAATATCCACACGCCTCTAATACTCCACGTAACCCATCCTTCATACGATGCAACTTACCTTATGCAGATTCAACCCTTTACCTTATGTTGCACCACCTACTTCACCAATGTTTTATGACTTTTTTCTCTACCTGTAATCCACCACCGCTTCTATCTTCACTCTAGAAGATTAGGTCGATTAGACTGGAGGGAGTGGTGCCACACTCCCTCCTTTTACCGCATTTTTGTACAACACCCAAGGGGTGGAGAGTTAGGGAAGAGAGAGAGAGAGAGAAAGAAGAGAGAGATAGAGAGATAGAGGAAGAGAGAGAGAGAAAGGGAACGCTCCCAATTTTTGCCACACTCTCAAACTGCACTTCCAAAACCGCACAGAGGGGGCCGTGTTTCAGTGCCACATCAGCTGAAACCGCACCCCACACCCTCCAGCCTTAGACACCTCTATTCACTTCTCTCTCTCTCTCTCTCAAGGAAAACCATACGACCTTCAAGCGTTCTTTAAATTTTTTGTATGAACAGAGAGAACTGAATGCCAACTCATGCATTGGCAGTCGTTAAAATCTATCGGCTTGGGATGACATGTCATCGATTATTTGTTCGTCTCTATCCTCTATAGGTGCTTACGATTCATACAATCTTTAATCTATACATGATTCCCCTTCTTTCTTCTTGTTCTTTGCAGATTATTGTAAGCCCTTATTTGAGTATGTAATAGATGCAAAATATTCTGCATAAGGATTTGTATAATTGCATTGTAAGTTACTCATTTTATTTGCTTTCGATTTTGTTAGAAGATGAAGATGACACACAATTGGTTTCTCTGAAGAATAAATTGTTGTTGCAAATTGATTAAGAGCAGGTGAGACGAAACGACGTGTTCTCATTGGACACGATCACCTGATATTGTTATCGTCTTCTTAGAGCAATCGGTATGGGCCAAACGAGATGTAACGCCGGTGACGTGGCGCATGGCGACGACGTCTTAACGGGGGGAACACCGCCCCCCCTGCTCGTTGCAACTCGTCGAGATTGGATCTCGTTGGCGTCACGACTGGATGAAACGAAGGAAATTTGACCGTTTGCAAACGTTTTAATTGCAACGGTTTTAAAAAAAAATTTAACTATTAAAAAACAAACAATTTACCCTATAAATACCTACCATTTTATAAAAAATTTCACACACTTTCTCTTCTCCTCTCTACATACTTTCAATTATCTTCAAAAAAAATATGGATCCTTTCGACTCGTCCGATGATTCAGATGACGATATTTTCTTTAGGATGATGTATCATTATTACACTACCGACCTGCTACAACCAGACCCAGCCCCGCTACTAACAAGACGTGCGATGTTAAACAGAAATCGCGAGGAAGGACACGAACATCTATATCGCGATTACTTTGCGGATAATTGTGTATACGGGGCGAAGGACTTCAAAAGAAGATTTCGTTTGAGTAGGGATGTGTTCTTACGAATCACCAACGCCTTGGAAAGCTGGTATCGTTTGTTTACTATACTTTTATACAAAATAAATAAAAATGTACTACATGTTTCTTTAATTTTACAACATATGCGATATATTTTTAAACTGTAGTTAATTTATATTTAGGTACGAATTTTTTCAATTAAGATATGATGCTAGAGGTAGACGAGGGTTTACAACGTTGCAGAAATGTGCTGCGGCCATTCGTTTGATGGCTATGGGGGAGTCACCCGACACCATGGACGACTATATGAGAATGTCCGAAAGAACCGCAAGAGAGAGTTTGTATACATTGTCAAGGGGTGTTGTTGAAACTTTTGGAGACGTGTATTTGCGAAAACCTTCGTTGCATGATTTGCAAGAATTGTATGCGGCGCATGAAGAACGCCATGGGTTTCCCGGAATGATCGGAAGCATTGATTGCACACACTGGAAATGGAAAAATTGTCCGGTAGCATGGAAAGGGCAATACACAAGTGGTCATCACGGATCACCTTCGTTGGTGTTAGAGGCTGTCGCTTCTCAAGATTTATGGATTTGGCATGCATTTTTTGGGGTTGCGGGTTCCAACAACGACGTCAACGTTATTGATCAGTCGCCAATATTCGACGATCTTTTGAATGGAAAAGCCCCGGATGCTCCTTTGATGGTGAATGGAAAAAGAATACAAATATGGGTATTACCTTACAGATGGAATATATCCTCAGTATTCCACATTCGTGAAGGCATTCCGCCACCCGGTTGAAGAACGAGACAAATTTTTTTAAGAGAAGACAAGAAGGAGCACGTAAGGATGTGGAACGTGCTTTTGGAGTGCTGAAGGCGAAGTGGCAATAACGATAACGAATAGCGTTGTATTTTTTTTTTTTTTGAATTTGGATGTTATTTCTTTTTTTGTTTTTGGATATTATGTGTAATTTAGTCTTTATGTTAATTTTAATCTTTAAAATTTTTTAATTGTTATTTATAATTTTTAAACATTATGTTTTATTTATTATGTTATATTTAAAAAATATTTGTCTAAATTTAAAAAAAAATCGAAATAAATAAAAAATAAATTATAAAATGGAAAGAAAATTGATGTCATACCAAGATACTAACATGTTGCCCATTTCCCTACTTGGTGTTATAACACCATTGACGATGTGATGTGGCACCATTTTGGTGTTACATCTCGTTGCCCACACTAACATGTTGCCCATTTCCCTATTTGGTGTTATAACACCATTGACGATGTGACCATTTTGGTGTTACATCTCGTTGCCCACACGGGTCTTAATCGCATGACGTTTTTTTTTCTCTTTTCGTCTCCTCTTCCGTTTCAAACTATGTTTGAAGCGTCCACCACTTTTTTTCTCCTATTGTGTGCATCACATTTATACAGTTCAGATGACCACCTTCCGAGCCATCCTCACGATTTCAGTTGCACCGCTATCCGCCTTCTTCAAACGAATCAAGTTCACACACTACGATTCTTACCGTTTCAGTTGCAATTCGAAGGCATTTCAGTGTCCTGTTTTATTCTTTTCTTCTTTCCTTCTTCATTTAACCGGTATTTGGAAATTTGGTGATGAAATTGAAAGTGATGGTGTAGATGAAGTCGATGAGTCGTAGTTTATGGTTCCTCTCTAACATTGCAGGATGTTCAGATTGAAACAACAAGATCAATTTCATCTTCTTCAACAGTCTCTTGCATTCAAGGTCAGTTTACCCTTAACCCTAACTTTTCTTCTATTTTTTCTTCAACCTTTCTCACACAAGATGAAGATTATGAGTTTGATTCAATGTTGAAATCGGTAAAGAGGCAGTGAGAGGAGATGGAGGTCAAGAGAGTGATTGTGGGACGAAGATTGGTAGTGCTGGTTTAACCCACGACAAAACAACTTTTCAATTTCAGTTTTCGGTGCAAAAGGTGTACGTACCAATCTCAATTTCAGTACTTATTTGCTTTTGTTGTGATGGTTTAGGAGATTAGGGCTCTGTAAGTTCAGATTCAAGATACATTTGCTGGATTTTCAAGAAACCTTATGAAGAATTTGTTCCAGGTTTGATTTTTATATTTTTATTTTCAATATGTAAACAAAGAAATTATTAATTATGCAACTGATGTTTGAATTCTCAGGTTCCTGATTTCGAGAGTTGACATCGTGCAATAAAGTATGTGTGGAAATAACTAAATATACAGAAAAAGGCTCATTTTGTGAAGAATGAGGATCTTGATTTGTATTGAAGGTTTGTTATTTGCTCTAACTTGGCATAAACTCATTGTTTCCCTTTGCCTTTGTGATAAAATGCCTGGTATATTCTTTATTTCCTCTTTTCCTTTGTTTTCCACACAATTCTTATGTTCTTTCAAACTTTTCTGTTTAATTATCCACGTTGGGAAGTGTCTAAAATTATGAATGATCACAATTGTATCTTAGTATCTATAATTAAATGATCTTGGAACTTCTCAACATGAATCTTCTAAACATTATCTTCGTATATATAATGAATGCTCACAATTTATATGTTTCATTGAGATTTCATTGCTCTTTCCTCATGAGTTGTGACACATTTTTTTCATTTAGAATTATTTTCAAATGTATGGATCGATTGTGTTGGTCAGGTTTCTCTTTGTTGTTAATTTAAAATTATAAGTAAAACCTGCCCACCAAATGACCATACATGTATTTCACTGGTAAATAATTTCAAATTGTCATTTCTTGCAATGGATTTAGTTTGGTGTTGAATTGGTGAGGGTGGTACTAAGAAGTATTAGATTTAGATTCTTTAGTAATTTGCAATTCTTTCTGCTATAAAAAACGTTTGATGTTGTCAAGTTTTTTATGCTATTATTTGGTAATTTGAAATGCTCGCCCTATATATTCATACTTTGGTAAATAAGCATGTTCTTGATGTTGCTGAGGTATTTATATTGTTGTTGTCAAGTTTCTTTATGTTAAGATTTTGATGGTGTCAGTAGTCTTAGAGAAACAAAGTTTTTGGTAATGTTAAAACTTTTGGACTATGTTTAGTAAGAAAAAATAGAGAAGATAAAAATTGCTAAGTTTAGTTGATTTTATTTTTTATTAGTTATTTTTGTAAGATTGTTGTCAGCAAATATGTTTTTTATTTCATATAATATTTTGAACGATGGTTTTGTTTCTTTGTATAGATGGATGAGTATCTTTTTGGATGAAGATAAATTAAGTCATCTAAAGATAGTAAGACACCCGTGAACAAGTGTATACAAAGACTCCAGAAATTCCACTGTAAGGCCCTGTTTTTTTATCCTGTTAACTTTTATTTGCTCCTTTTTTAAGTGAAGCTAAACATTAGAAGAATTCAGTGAAACGTTAAGCAACTTATATCCAAGCCTCCACAGGCTTTTTTTTCTTTAAAGAATGAAGTGCTTTGATTGATCCCAATACGTTCGATTCGATAATATGGATGAACCAATTGGCCATACCTCAAACTCGGCCACATGGATATCACCTCGAGCCTCTCCTAGAGTGGTAGGAAATACTGTTGCGTATTTAGTTTGTACACCACCAACGGAGACACCAACAACTTTGTCCATGACTCTAAAACATCCATTAAAGCATCAGCTGGAGGCGGCAGGGGTGATGATGGCGATGTAGAAAAAAATGCTACTTCTTCAATCTTTCTATTTTGGTAAAAAAAAAAAAAATTAATGTCTCGATTAAACTAGATCGTACCTCAAAATATATCTGATATTTATTTCTTGAAATCTTTAAGAGCAAGTGGTTATATTTTCCTATTCCATGCATTTGGATATTTTAGGTACATATTGACCATGTATATGGTCGATCCTTATTTGATTTGTCAGTTAATATTTCAAATTTAATCATTTCGTCAACTTTTTAATCAAGTTAGATATAGACGTATGATTCCCATATTAGTGGTAACCTATAAGTACATTACTTTTATAGGTAAAAAATCAAGTTCATTGTTGTTATTACCGTCAAAAAATTAAGTATGGGTTATTTTCTGTAATTTACCCTTTTTTCGGTGTTGTGTTTTTGGAGAATATTTTGTTACTCTTTAACACATTTGTGTTCCTTTATTATTACTAGAAAATATGTGTGAGAGGCCATATAATTGTCAACAAAGTTGATATTTATTTCTTCTTAATTGATTATATTTTTTTAGTTTTTGCAGGCCATCTTTTAGGAGAACATATGTCAAAGCTTCTGCATCTGCCTTCTCCACCATGTTTTAGGACAGTGATTCCACCATCGCTGCCACTTTCTCTCCGTTGAAGACTACATCAACATTCCCGATGCTCTGAGTATGATGTGGTTGGACATAAATGACCGATGTGATTCTTAGTAATAAAACCATGAAATTCTAAAAATTTAGTTTCTTTTTCTATTATTTTTATTTTCATAACATTGTACTTTCGTTTTTTCTAATTATGACATTTTTCGTTAAAAACTAACCAACAAACGATTTACGGAAACAATTACTAACCCATGACCAAAATGAATATTTGGACCAACCATGCGTCGTGCTAAGCACGGCCCTGAAACGTACCTAGTATTAACATAAAAAAATGATATCCAGCAATTATTCTTTTTCGTTCGCTTTAACGATTCAGCCATGAAGGCTCCTTTAGAATGTTTGGCTGGAATGAAACTACAAACACATTGGTTAGAGTGGCTGGCTTTATTTGACATGTTTTTCTTGTTTTTTGGAGTTTAGCAAGTAAAATTGTCACTTTGCTACAGAAGTGTAAATAAATAAAATACATTTGTTAGAAAATTATTTGAGCTGTTTTAAACGACTTGCATGGTTATTTTGCAATAAAGATCAAACACGTTTGTTAGAAACAAAGAATGGCCCTCCCTTGACACAATTTAGTGTTTTATACAATAACAATACAGTAATTGTTAGTTTGCAACCGATGGAACTACAAAAAATACAATGATTATACATAAAACGCATCCATCCATCTTATATATACTGCTCAACCGTTAATTGTGGTTTGATCTCCTCTAACTTTGCCTGAATAACTAACTAATTATAAGATGCGCATCATATCATATCATCATTAAATTGAGTTAATTTAGATCTCAATAATTGATATATGTATGTATGTATGTATGTATGTTCATCTCTTGGTCTTGCAGGTTCGAGCCATGAGAGAACCTGACGGCGGACTGGTGATTTGCAGGTCGCAAAGCCCGTGCAACCAATAAGAGAAGTGAATCGCTCCCAAACTTGCGCGCACTTTGAAAGTCCCTCGCACACTGTACAAAACTTTGTTGTTCAATACCTGTTTTCGAAGTTCCATTGCATAATTTGGTGGCAGAGTAACCAAGCTCGATACGAAGTTAATTGCCACCACGCCTGTCTCCTTTGGCCTTTGACTGAATGGCCGGATTGATTGAGTCGCTATCACACTGTCTTCGAATAACAATTCCATAACAGACTGCTCGAACTTCACTTCCAGTTTCCTGTTAGGGTTTGAGAAGTTTGCCATAAAAGTGAAATCTCCATTGAAATTCCCAGGTGCATCGAAGTAGATGACGCTGAGGTTTGCACGGTTGGTGTCGAGAACAGGCGTTCTTGGCTTGACCACGAGGAAAACGATCAAAGTGGCGATTCCGAAGAAGATGACAAGGAGGCTGAAGATCAAACATATAATCGCGCTGCACCAGATAGCTGGATTCGTGTGGCGGTGTCTTCTTAGCAAGAGCCTATCGTGTGCTTTTGATGTGATGTGTTCATAAGGGAACTCCATGCCCATGGTTGGCGTTGCTACGAGTTTGGTTAGAGGTGATGGTTTCACGGATGATTGCTGTCGTGACATGAAAATACGTGACATGGGAGACGGGGTGGTGGCTTTCGATTGTGGCGAAGGCGTACAGTACACGGATGGCGGTTCTGGTGGCGGTGATGGCGGAGGTCGGAGGTGCGACATCTCAAAATTTCAAATGCCAAACAACACCCAATATAAAATTGAAGTAATGAAGGAGAAACCAAATGAATCATTGCAGCTTTAAAATAGGGGTGAGTTTAAGCAAGGGAAAGCAAAAGGGGAAAGTAGGATCTTTTTTGTTGATTGAGATTGAGAGTGGGGTGGTGGCTGGTGGGGCCACGGAGGTGTTTTTGAAATACAAGAAAAGAAAAGGCTGGTGGTTCTGGTGGAGGTGGGGTTAGGTTTTCATTTTCAATATTTGTCCTTTTATTAGGTGGGTGCTTGGAAATGTGTTTTATCAATATTTGAATAGTAAATGTTAGAGAGATTTAAGTTTTTCACATCTATCTTGGTAATGTTTCATCATTTCAATAATGATAATTGATAGTTGTTATTTCAAATTTCACTGTAAAATTTTAAATTATGCTAATTAAAAATTAGTTTGAGCTATGATGCAGAATATACGAAATAGAAATGAAATCAATAACACACAAAAAAACACCATGCTCATTAGAAATTACTTTGTATGAAAGTGCTTAATGCAAACTCAATATAAAAAAAATAACTAAATAAATAATAATCATAAGCATGCTAACGGGATGTCTAGTGCATAAGCATAAAATAAAAACCCTCACCAATATACGGTTCTTCCTCAAATCATATAGCCAAAATTGAACATTGAACAATCATTGTCAGCAGTTGGATTTCCGAACTACTACATGAGTGCATGTTTGCTATTTCCGTCCGCAATTCTCCCTTCCTCGTCCTTGGTTCTTCTTTCATGTAGATGTCCCACTTCAATATCAATTGAACAAATTATTGTAAGTACAAAAATCTATAATGCTTTGACTTATGCTTATTTTATTTGTAATTTTTATTAAGGAGATATTTCATAAATATACTATTTAACATTTAATTTAGGAACAAGGAACTTGTCTAATGCATATTCTAGCGGCACCTATCCGTTTTGCAAGTTGAATTTTGACGATCTTGTTAAGATTTATGGAGTCTTGAACAAATTGACAAGTTTCTAAAAGTTCAAGGGCCATAAATGAAACTTAAAAATATTAAACAATTGAATATGAAATGGAGCGATCCAATTATGGAGCACACTTTTTGAATTCATTTGTTGGACTGTCAAAGTTTTGGACGGCAAATAATTGGACGGTGGAAAAAATTGTCAAACACATGCATGAGAATTATTTTTTCAAACTATGCGGCAATCTTGTGCATATTGCGGCTCACAAATATACCTATATATATGCATGTATGTTTTGCATATTTTGTGTGCAAAAAACTTGAGAGAACATCAAGTGTAGAGTGTCAAGCCAATTGTAATCTTGTGAGTTTTAATAAAATTCTCTAGTTGCAGCCCGTGGACGTAGGATTTACACCGAATCCGAACCACGTAAAATCCTTGTGTTCTTTATTGCTTTATTTTCTCGTTTCGTTTGTGAGTGTGTGATAGTGTTTCCGCTGCGTGTACCCTGTCTCAATTCCTAACAATTGGTATCAGAGCCTGGTTAGCGAGGTTTTGGAGGGTACGATCGTTTTTTCTGTCACACACGAGTGTACCTAGTTTTTTTTTGTTTGCCGTAATGGCTGAAGACAAGGTTATAATCGAAAGGTTCAATGGTTCTGATTTTAGCTGGTGGAAAATGCAATTAGAAGCATTGCTATGTCAGAAAGACTTGGACGTGGTACTCGGAGACAAACCGGAGAAAATGGAAAAAGCTGCTGAAGATGCGTGGAACTCAAAGGACAAGAAAGCCAAGGCGGTTATTACATTGTCGTTGACGAAGAGCGTTGCTTTCAACATCATGAATGAAACCACGGCGCGTGGTATGATGGAGGCTCTGTCAAATATGTATGAGAAACCATCGGCGGCTAACAAGGTGTTCTTGATGAAGGAGCTGTTCACTACAAGGATGAATGAGGAAGGCTCAGTTACGGTTCACATTAACAATCTAAATTCAATTCTGTCCAGATTATCATCCGTGGGAATTAAATTTGATAATGAGACTCAAGCTTCGCTGCTACTAGCTTCTCTACCTGATAGCTGGTCCGGAACAGTTACTGCTGTTACAAGTTCCGTGGGGACCAGTGGTATGACTTTTGAAGGGGTTAGAGATTTGGTTCTAGGCGAGGATATCAGACGCAAGAATCAAGGTGGATCTTCCTCTTCTGATTTATTAAATGTCGGAAGAGGTAGAGGGAATAGCAGGAATAGTGGGAGCAGTGGGAGTCGGGGAAAAAGTTCTTCTAGAACTTTGAAGAATGTGAAATGTTGGAACTGTCAAGAAGTGGGACATGTTAAGAGTCAATGTCCAAAGAAAGAATTGAACATTGCTGATGCTGAGAATTTTTCTGGGGATGATGCATTGTTACTCAGTATGGAAAGTTCTGTGGACTCTTGGGTCATGGATTCAGGGGCTTCGTTTCACGCCATGGACAACGGGGAAACGATGGTGAATCTAAAAGAAGGAAATTTTGGGAAGGTACGATTGGCAAATGACGAGATGCTTCAAGTAACGGGCATGGGAGATATTGATCTAGTTACTTCATTAGGAACTACATGGAGCCTGAAGAATGTCAGGGTTATTCCGGAGCTGAAGAAAAAATTGATTTCTGTTGGTCAGCTGGATAAACAAGGACTGGAAGTAAGGTTTGGTGGTGGTAAATGGATGGTGGTCAATGGTAATTCGGTGATTGCTCAAGGTTTGAAGCGTGGGTCATTGTATATGGTTGAGGTACCTGCTGAGGGAAGTATGACCATCCCGATTAAGCAAAACAAAATCTGGTTCGCTAAATCTACTGCTAAGAGAGTTCATTTTGCAAACATGAATTCTGGAGCCAAGGGGATGTTAGCTGAACGAGTCAGAAATTCTAAACCATTCAGGGGATTCTGTGACAGTGGGAGCACGGGGTGTGTCCCGGGTACAGTTACAAAGAGCCGTTGGGTTTTGAAGACTAAGACTGGAAAATTCTCTCTTGTTGGAAGTTTGCAAAGTTTGGAGAGTGTTAGTGGTCCTCGGTGTATCTTTGGATCTGGTAGAGTGTCCAAACCGGTTGAGACAGAGGATGAGTCGGTGGTGGGATTAGCCACGACTGAGTTGGAGCTAGTGGGAGCTTCAAGTGACCCTTCTAGTACTTGAAGATGAGGGGCGGCTGCAATTAGAGAAATCAGACTAAGTTTTAGCTTGTTCTTTGAAACTGGAAGCTTGAAGGACTTGGTTGTTTTTTAAGATTACTGGAGTAATTGAGAGTTGAATGGCGGAGAAAGACTAATTTGTTCAAGTCTCCAAGTGGGAGATTGTTAAGATTTATGGAGTCTTGAACAAATTGACAAGTTCCTAAAAGTTCAAGGGCCATAAATGAAACTTGGAAATATTAAACAATTGAATATGAAATGGAGCGATGCAATTATGGAGCACACCTTTTGAATTCATTTGTTGGACTGTCAAAGTTTTGGACGGCAAATAATTGGACGGTGGAAAAAATTGTCAAACACATGCATGAGAATTAGTTTTTCAAACTATGCGGCAATCTTGTGCATATTGCGGCTCACAAATATACCTATATATATGCATGTATGTTTTGCATATTTTGTGTGCAAAAAACTTGAGAGAACATCAAGTGTAGAGTGTCAAGCCAATTGTAATCTTGTGAGTTTTAATAAAATTCTCTAGTTGCAGCCCGTGGACGTAGGATTTACACCGAATCCGAACCACGTAAAATCCTTGTGTTCTTTATTGCTTTATTTTCTCGTTTCGTTTGTGAGTGTGTGATAGTGTTTCCGCTGCGTGTACCCTGTCTCAATTCCTAACAGATCTTCTTGATAAAAGTTAGGTATTGTTGCTTTGTTGCAGATGTAGTACCAAGAGAAAAGGGAGGTGCCCCCAAAGGTTTAAAAATTTGTATGTTAAAGTATTCTTAAAATCTGGTGATTTGTTCTTCTTAATACATCAGGCCCCAACAAAAATTGGGTAAGGATGATGGACTTTGAGAGTTGGGATGGAAACAAATTAAGCCCACTCTTGGCTTTAATTGGTCAGCGTTTAGCAACATCTTTTTGTTCTTCACTGCCGTTCCTTTTTAATTTTTTCAAACCAGACTTAAAACCTAGAAATGTAATCGGTAATCCTTCTCCCTTCGACTTACAACTCAAAATCGACCTTGGACAGATCAGGTTAGTCATACAATTGAGGTTTCATAAAAATGTTTGATATAATTTCAATTTATACAATTGAGGTTTTCTTTATGAAATCGTGATGTAGTAATGTTGGGGAATGGTTGAAGGAACTAGGTTTGAGAAGACTTGGGATTTTATTAAGAGGATGAATGCAAGCAAAGAGTATAGATAGTTAGATAGTTACAATAAATTAACAAACTGTGTGATAAGCAATCCTTCATAAACATCTCGTTATATACCCTTTATATCAGCATTCAATCTCTTTAGTCTCTTAAACAATTGGAAACCCGAGGTTATTTTATGAAATCACTACACTACACAAAAAGTATGACTTACATCTAAAAGAATCATCAATTCTCTCGCTCTTGAAATCATTTTAGTCACTGGAATCGATTATCAAATTTTTTTTAAATAGATGATTCACCTGATTTGGAATGTGATTTTGGTAGATTGAAGAGGATTTATAAAGCGTAAAATGGGAACTTGGAGAGATGGAATGAAAAAAACGGGGTCTACTATGGAATGAATAACATGCGAGTTGTAATGTTTCTTTATTTTTCTGTTTATCAACCAAACATTTTTTGATAGTAATGAAATAATGTTTTCCATAACATATCTCATTCCGCACTACCAAACAATACCTAACTTTCTATTAATGTTTTGTGCTTCTGGTTTACAAGCTTCAAAAACTGCTTATTTCAATATCAATTCTCCGGTTCAAAGAAAACAACCCGATCTTGAAAACATTGTTTTAAAATCATTTTGAACCAACCCGAAAGTTTTAATTGATACTTTTGTGCCCTGACATATCGAAATCTTGGATCTGTCATGGATTTGTTGATAGATAAATATACAAAGTTAGTACCATTGAGTTACTAATTTATACTGTTGTATAACAATGTACTATATGCGACCAACGTCATATGAAGGAAATTTATATAAAAACATGCACAAAATTTACGTTGAAATATAAAGAAACTCAAATGTATACCGAAACGTACATAAAAATAAGTAAATATTTTTTTAAAGTTAATGAACAGAAGTTCAAATAATCAAAAACATATTATATGTGACCCGACTCATACGT